TGCACCAAACGGAGTTTCGATATCGTTTTTTCAAAGTATACTGTTTGAAGGCTTTCAAATATTCCGAGTTTCACATCATCCTTTAGTCTTGCGTTCTCATGTTTGCGTTGGAAAGCGGGGTCGGTTGGGAAACAGAAGTCATGACTCTGATATTTTCATTTATTCTTCCTATATTTAGTTGCAATTAGGAGGATTTGAAAGCATGAGTGACTAACATATTATCAAACGTAGCCTTTTCGTGATTACCCTTCAAAATATGACCACTTGTTAATTCACTTTACTGTCTAGTATTGAATGAGATATCGAGAACCGTCATCAGCTCCGTGGTGTAAAATTAGTTGGATAAAAATGCCTTATAGGTTGGAAATTGTCGCATACTAATCTTCCTGGTATCCAATGAAGAAATCTTCTGTGAAGCTGTTTGTAATTTAGGCTGCATAAATGTGCAAGCATACAGATGAAACTTGACTTCAGTTGCCAATAATCTCCTTTTGAGTGAATTAATTATACCTTGTTTTAAGCTGAGTCCTGCTCTCCTTGATGATTGTCAGCACCTCAGAGCAAACATATCGAGACTGCAAGAATATCAAACCTGCTTAGGAAAACAAAATGATTCTGATAATGCCAAAGACTCGATCATTTGTTATTCTTATTGTTATAAGAAATTGCTTACAATGACGTCCTGGAACTCAATACCTCTATTTTGTCAGGTCAGTCAGGACATTGAAGTGAAACACTGTTTTTTAACTTGTATATTTTTCTATGAATTATTGACGACTGTATGTGCAATAACAAAATGTTGGCTTCTACAATCTACACAACAACAATCGGTTAGGAAATGCCACTGTATTCATGAATCCTAGTCGTAAATTATGCAACATCAAGAAGTTGTCAACGAATAACAAGCCCAGAAGAAAATCGTAGAACATGTCAAACCAGCTATTACTCGCATGTACACTTTTGACGACAGTTCAGTTTTCAGTTATTTGACTGAGTTGTGCTACTGCTTAGCAAAAATTATCTTGTATCAAAATATGCATGGAATTCACCACTGTTTGCAATTTTTTATAGTTAACTCATTACAAATTATTCTGCTTAGTTACATGCCCCATCATATAAACAAATTATTATTGCATTCTCACATCACTTCAACTGACTATGAAGCACAACATTAAGTCGCAGGAGAAAGTCCTCAGTGAAATACTTCGCAAGTGTAATATTTCATGCAAACTAAATCCGTAATAGCACTTCGTGTTTTTCCTTACCAATAAGAAGTTTGCAGAAGTAATCAGCCCATCTACAAACTAGATGATTACAATGAAAACATAAAAACAAAACTACAAATCACTGATACCTGCGTAAACGTTCTATACTGAAGTGAAATGTGTTTACATCATTTGGTTAACTGGAGTAAAGCGATGATAGCAATGTGTCCAGCTTGATACGGTTGCATCCAGGATAAATATCTTAGCAACTTCAGGGAGTAAACGCTGTTTCACTGTTCACCGCTTCGCATAAATCAGTCTAATCAGCATCACACACTTGCGTCATTATACACCTTAGCTGAAACAGTCTCCTAACTGAAATATTGGAAGACTAAAGCCACCATAATATTTCACGTATATCCAGGTATGCCGAGCACCGAATCACAAATACGTTACGAAGAAGCAATAATTTGAGTCAGTCGACCAAAATTTAACTGCTACATGTGAATACAATTGCCAGGTACTCCACCATATATTCATATCTCCATACCTCAGGAAGGAAGAAGAAACAAAATGGATAACTGGAAGCTGATAGACGAGGGGGAGGAAGATGGTGATGGTTAAGTAGAAGATGAACCAGTGCAAGGATGCAAAACGAAAGACGAACTGAGTACAGCGTACAAAACGCTGGACGAAGAAGTCAAAAGGAGTGCACGGAAAGCCAGAACACAACTCCACGATACACTGATAAGTGAAGCAGAACAGGCTGCATTTAAGAGAGACCTGACTACACCATATCAAATAACCAGGTTACTATCTGAGAGGGAAGAGATCAACACAGACCGTCATCAACATCATTCAACAGCAGCTTTATGCTATGCTATATGATGGATGCGGCTACATGCCAAGTGATTCACGATGGAAAACTCAGTGACGCCTTTGGTGTGAAGACAGACAGGAGTAAGACAACGTTGCCACCTACTATCAGCGATGGCCTTCCCGACTGTGGTCCACTGGACTGGACTGAAGTGGAGTGGAGTGGATCATGCAAGAGACAACTGTGAGGAGCAAGAGGAGAAGCATATGCTGACTGGACCGATGAAAATACCCTAGAAGATGTGGATTTCGCCACCGACGAGGATTTATGTCTAATGTCTTGTCGCACAAACTCGAAGATCTACAGGTGAAAACCAACAAGTTGAGAGAAGAGGTGAGGCGGCGAAGACGCGACTTCATGTGAACGTGAATGTGTAGAAGACAGAGGTGATGAAGATTGCCAACCAACAACAGCACCAACAAGCACCAATCACCATGGAGGGTGGGGGGTTGCGGGGTGGGGAGAAACCTAAATGTAGAAGCCAGTTCCACCTACCTGCTTAGGCAGGCAAGACAGCATCCTTTCAACTACAGGTGACGGCACAGACGAGGACGTCAAAGCCAGGATCAGGAAGACAGCAAGACAGGTCCTCACTAATCTGAAGTCAGTGTGGAGATCTGCTGCACTGCACTGCACTGCTTTCAGGATAAAGTGTGAACAACATCCGCATTTTTAACACTAACTCAGTCAATTCAATGCTTCTATGTGGTTGTTGAGAGACACGTCGCTCATTACGAAAGACATTTCCAACATGGTACAGACACTCATCTAGTTCTGCCGTCTGCCCACACTCGATACTGATGACCAGATCAGATGGCCAGAAACAATGAACAACAAGGAACTCTGGCTGGCCACGAACCAGCCAGGATTTCATCACCCACAAATATGCAGAAGAAAGTGGAGATGGATTGGACTGGACACACACTGAGAAGACCGATTTGGGGACATCACGTGCTAGGTCAGGCCAGGCTAGGCCAGGCCAGGCCCAATAATCGAGTCGAAGCCAAAGGGAAACGACCAGTTGGGCGTCCGAGGTGGGGGTGATATGGATGAGATGGTGTGAGGAAGAAATGAAATCTTGTGGGGAGTGGTTGAGCCAGGTTGAAAAGCCTGTAGAGAACAGAGCTCAATGGAGACGTGCTACTGAAGCCCTATGTTCCACTGGGAATTTAAAGGTCAACTGGTAATAGAATTAGCAGCCATCTACTGCCTTGGCATTACCTCGGGGATAATAATGACAGGATTTTTGTGTGTACTATCTCTTCAAAGTATACTGACGTTGTTAAATTTGTTTTCACGTCCATCTTTTATTGATTTGTTTGATTTATCGCACAGTGTGTGATAAATCTAATAGATGAATAAATGTGTAATTACATTCTACCACAGTGCACAAGTTTTACTCTTATATTGTTTTCATGTCATTGGTCTGTTGCGATGTTATGGTTTTGTGAGTTGTGAGTTGGTCAATTGATCAGACGTGATGCATGGTTTTTAAATTTTGATTACTGCTTGTCCTCCAGAATTCCTCAGAAAGCGGACTACTACTAAGGACAAAAAATGTCATATATCTCTTACAGTCCTTAACGTTTCTGGGTTATATCCTTGATGTGACCTGTCTCCAAAAACATAAACTCGAAGTGAATACGTAAGAAAGGGAAACGACAGGAACTGCATAATTACAAGGGCTCTCCATTAAGGTAAATTGGAAACAAAACTTTCATTACTTCTCAGAATCAGAAGTAGTACGAGGAAGGTACAGCGTGACAGCCACTGGTTTCGATTCTGAGCCATGCTTCATAAAATCCCAAATCAGTGAACAGCGTGATATCGTTCGCATATTCAAGGTAAAATAAGAGTTCTCCGGGTGGTAGGTCTACACCACTATCATACACCTCCTTCAGAGCAGTCTCGAGAATGTCATCGATGGAAAAGTTGAAGAGGAATGAGGCAATCAAGCAATCTTGCCTAGGCTCACTCCTGGTTTGGAACAATGGAGACAAGCTGTTGCATGCCCTCACTCTACCTGCGTGTTGCGATATAGGGCTTTCGGGATGTTGATAAACTTCGCAGACACGCCCCTCGACAACAGATTATTTTGGAGTACAGCTCCGTCCAAAGAATAGAATGCAGACCCACTATGAAGGAACACGAAGACTGTTGGCCTGCAATACGTGTGGTGATGTTCAAGTATCTGGCGGAAGGTAAACACATGTTCAGAGCATCCACGACCTGAGCGAAACCCGACCTGCTCCTTGCAAATCATTCCCTCACACGTTTTGAAAAGTCTGTGAAGTATGATACAAGCCAGTATTTTCGACGCGACTTGTAACACAATAATAACCAGACGATTGTCACATACGTTGCGTAGAACCCTTTTAAAGATGAACATAGCAAAGGCTTGGAACATTCTCAGTCTGCCATACCTTCTAAAACAATCTAGTCAGTTCCATGACTAGCAGAGTGAAGTAAAGTCAAAGTCGAAAATAATCGTAATAAAATGTACGGTTCACACGTAAAAACAACAGAAACCACACATAAACAATAATTTGAGAAATCCGTTCGAAAATTCGTCATGTGAAGAGCTTGAGTATTTTCAGAAAAGGTGGTTAGTAGCTTCAAAAGCTCCATTGTGTGTTGTAAATTCATATCTTATGTGGTGGCTGGGATGCTGCTAGGGTGCCGTGACCAAAGCTGGAACCACTTCCCGAGCCTTTGACTTGAAGTCTAATCTACATGGCAGGGTAGCAACATCGTAAGCTGCACTCCCATGGTTTCCAAGTGGCCAAAATATACTGAGAAGAGAAGCATACTTCGTCATGTAACTACTTATCGTATACAACTCAGATACTGATCTCAAAATCTAGTCACGGATAACATTTTACAATCTCACAAAAATACAAAAGTGATAGTCAACTCACAACAAATAAAATAGAAACTGATCCCAGAATTTCTTCAGACAGATCACTGTAATCGAAAAGATGAATTCCAATGAAAAGAATTCAATCTATTTATGTTAGCTGCAATAAACACTATTTTTAGTAAGTAATACAGAAAATTCAAAAGTTTTACATTCCTCTGTTATAATTCACTGATTTCTAAATATCTATTTTACTAAGGTGAAGTGTATATTAGTAGTATTTAAACACTTTTTTAACAGACAGATCTAGGCATAATTAAGGCACACATGATACCCATAAAAAGTAACCACTTGATTTTATGACTACTTTAGAATTAGTGACAAAAATAAATTGCAAACCTGTATAAATGATTCCTTTAAAGCGTGATGCACTCTGAGTGCATTCCGAATAATTTTATAACGCATCTATCTACCAAGATGTTAAATGTGAGGAATATGAAATGAATGAAGTGAACAACTCATTTCAAGTAGCATGAAATATAGTTTGCTGTGATATGAGATGATATACACTAATTTATGTTCACTGACAAATTAAGGCTGCACTCAACTCATTCTTCTTAAAGATATATTAGAACATCAGCGATCACGAAATTCAAATAAGTACAAGTAAGGCTGCTTCATCAGGAGAATTAAATAGCATGAATTTGAAGAAAGGTTGAATGTCAGGAACTGAAATCGGTGGAATGTCAAGAAAAACGTGGTATATGATTTAACACAGTCACATTTCAATACAATCGACAACATTCGATACACGAACATGAAAAGACAGAAAATTGATGACACTGATAGAAATTGATGATACAAGCGTGGACAGCCCAACCAAGTGATCTTGGCTTCACATCATCCTCGTGCACCAATATTTCCTATGGTGCAGATGTTCTGTTATTATCAAACAGTATGCAATGAGTTGGGCGTCGGAGGATGACATGGAGGAGATCGTGCGAGGACGAGATGAGAGCTTCAGGGCTGTCGTCGAGCCAGGTTCAAAAGACTTCAGAGAACAGAGATCATTGGAAACGTGCTATTGAAGCTTTATGTTCCATAAGAAAGCGAAGGGACGAATAATAATAATAATGTGAATATACATATATATATATATATATATATATATATATATATATATATATATATATAACTCTGAACGAAAAGTGTATTTCATCGTTGAACTCTGGTGTCTCCAAAATAAATGACTGATTTCTAAACATTCCCAACACAGTTCTGTTACCATTCGAGTGATCAAGGAGTATTTCTTTCCATTACTTCTTATTCAAATTCCACAATTATATAAACATAATGATGAATCATGCGTCAGCAATATAGAGATTCCGTTGATTAGTTTGTTAATAATGTTACACAGTTGAGGAAGTCAATTGAGAAAAGTCATGTGTGTAAACGTTGATGATGGAGTAAATTGCTACTAGGATTCAATTCGAAATAACTGACTATCTGAATAATTATACCGTGTAGGTAATGATACAATGTGATAGGTAATAGAAGAATAAGAAGTTGTTTATGACAATCGGATGAAATGAATTAAGAAGACAAAAGAGGTGAAGAGGATTTCAGATTATCGGGAAGAAGGGGTATCTACAGTATGGAATCAGATTATCGAGGGCAGAATGCCAACGAATTGGAGCGTCACAAATCGGGCCATGGTAGTTGTGGGTGCAAAACTAGCTTCGGTTGAGCACACACACTTCGGGTCATTTGATCCTGATTGCTACTGCTGATACAGTTTGAAGGATAATAAACCGAATATCTTTTGGCAAGTTGAAAGAAACGTTGTACAAATTGTAAAACGACTGATTTAAATTAACTTTCTGCTAACATGGAGCTGGTAATAGCCTCTACCGCAGCTTTATTTAACCGAACACGGAGGTGTTCGTAAGCTCGAAAAATTCAATTCCGAAAGCAGCGTCCGATATAACTCGCTCGGCGGCAACTGATTTGCATAGTTTGTGAAATACTATCTCACTGATCACGTCACCTCAAAATTGTACACAAATGTGTTACTCTCTACTGTTTGACCTTGAAAACAAATAATGCGTGGATCAAACTGCAACACCACGCTACACTACGCATCATCATAGAACACAGAATAGAATGGCAGTCAACTCTCTACCTCACATCAACTTCATCCACTTTGAAATGCTTCTCCACAGCCTCGACCGAGAAGCAATTTGGCAGGCAGCTGCTTCAACACCACAGTCTCAGTGCCACACACCGTCATCAACCTCATTCAACAACAGCTTTATGCTATGCTATATGATGGATGCGGCTACATGCCAAGTGATTCACGATGGAAAACTCAGTGACGCCTTTGGTGTGAAGACAGACAGGAGTAAGACAACGTTGCCACCTACTATCAGTGATGGCCTTCCCGGCTGTGGTCCACTGGATTGGACTGAAGTGGAGTGGAGTGAAGTTGACTGGAGTGGTTAAAAGACACGTGGCGCGTTACGAAAAGCATTTCTAACATGGTACAGACACTCATCTAGTTCTGCCGTCTGCTCACACTCGATACTGATGACCAGATCAGATGGCCAGAAAGAATGAGCAACAAGAAACTCTGGCTGGCCACGAACCAGCCAGGATTTCATCACCCACAAATATGCAGAAGAAAGTGGAGATGGATTGGACTGGACACACACTGAGAAGACCGATTTGGGGACATCACGTGCTAGGTCAGGCCAGGCTAGGCCAGGCCAGGCCCAATAATCGAGTCGAAGCCAAAGGGAAACGACCAGTTGGGCGTCCGAGGTGGGGGTGATATGGATGAGATGGTGTGAGGAAGAAATGAAATCTTGTGGGGAGTGGTTGAGCCAGGTTGAAAAGCCTGTAGAGAACAGAGCTCAATGGAGACGTGCTACTGAAGCCCTATGTTCCACTGGGAATTTAAAGGTCAACTGGTAATAGAATTAGCAGCCATCTACTGCCTTGGCATTACCTCGGGGATAATAATGACAGGATTTTTGTGTGTACTATCTCTTCAAAGTATACTGACGTTGTTAAATTTGTTTTCACGTCCATCTTTTATTGATTTGTTTGATTTATCGCACAGTGTGTGATAAATCTAATAGATGAATAAATGTGTAATTACATTCTACCACAGTGCACAAGTTTTACTCTTATATTGTTTTCATGTCATTGGTCTGTTGCGATGTTATGGTTTTGTGAGTTGTGAGTTGGTCAATTGATCAGACGTGATGCATGGTTTTTAAATTTTGATTACTGCTTGTCCTCCAGAATTCCTCAGAAAGCGGACTACTACTAAGGACAAAAAATGTCAAATATCTCTTACAGTCCTTAACGTTTCTGGGTTATATCCTTGATGTGACCTGTCTCCAAAAACATAAACTCGAAGTGAATACGTAAGAAAGGGAAACGACAGGAACTGCATAATTACAAGGGCTCTCCATTAAGGTAAATTGGAAACAAAACTTTCATTACTTCTCAGAATCAGAAGTAGTACGAGGAAGGTACAGCGTGACAGCCACTGGTTTCGATTCTGAGCCATGTTTCATAAAATCTCAAATCAGTGAACAGCGTGATATCGTTCGCATATTCAAGGTAAAATAAGAGTTCTCCGGGTGGTAGGTCTACACCACTATCATACACCTCCTTCAGAGCAGTCTCGAGAATGTCATCGATGGAAAAGTTGAAGAGGAATGAGGAAATCAAGCAATCTTGCCTAGGCTCACTCCTGGTTTGGAACAATGGAGACAAGCTGTTGCATGCCCTCACTCTACCTGCGTGTTGCGATATAGGGCTTTCGGGATGTTGATAAACTTCGCAGACACGCCCCTCGACAACAGATTATTTTGGAGTACAGCTCCGTCCAAAGAATAGAATGCAGACCCACTATGAAGGAACACGAAGACTGTTGGCCTGCAATACGTGTGGTGATGTTCAAGTATCTGGCGGAAGGTAAACACATGTTCAGAGCATCCACGACCTGAGCGAAACCCGACCTGCTCCTTGCAAATCATTCCCTCACACGTTTTGAAAAGTCTGTGAAGTATGATACAAGCCAGTATTTTCGACGCGACTTGTAACACAATAATAACCAGACGATTGTCACATACGTTGCGTAGAACCCTTTTAAAGATGAACATAGCAAAGGCTTGGAACATTCTCAGTCTGCCATACCTTCTAAAACAATCTAGTCAGTTCCATGACTAGCAGAGTGAAGTAAAGTCAAAGTCGAAAATAATCGTAATAAAATGTACGGTTCACACGTAAAAACAACAGAAACCACACATAAACAATAATTTGAGAAATCCGTTCGAAAATTCGTCATGTGAAGAGCTTGAGTATTTTCAGAAAAGGTGGTTAGTAGCTTCAAAAGCTCCATTGTGTGTTGTAAATTCATATCTTATGTGGTGGCTGGGATGCTGCTAGGGTGCCGTGACCAAAGCTGGAACCACTTCCCGAGCCTTTGACTTGAAGTCTAATCTACATGGCAGGGTAGCAACATCGTAAGCTGCACTCCCATGGTTTCCAAGTGGCCAAAATATACTGAGAAGAGAAGCATACTTCGTCATGTAACTACTTATCGTATACAACTCAGATACTGATCTCAAAATCTAGTCACGGATAACATTTTACAATCTCACAAAAATACAAAAGTGATAGTCAACTCACAACAAATAAAACAGAAACTGATCCCAGAATTTCTTCAGACAGATCACTGTAATCGAAAAGATGAATTCCAATGAAAAGAATTCAATCTATTTATGTTAGCTGCAATAAACACTATTTTTAGTAAGTAATACAGAAAATTCAAAAGTTTTACATTCCTCTGTTATAATTCACTGATTTCTAAATATCTATTTTACTAAGGTGAAGTGTATATTAGTAGTATTTAAACACTTTTTTAACAGACAGATCTAGGCATAATTAAGGCACACATGATACCCATAAAAAGTAACCACTTGATTTTATGACTACTTTAGAATTAGTGACAAAAATAAATTGCAAACCTGTATAAATGATTCCTTTAAAGCGTGATGCACTCTGAGTGCATTCCGAATAATTTTATAACGCATCTATCTACCAAGATGTTAAATGTGAGGAATATGAAATGAATGAAGTGAACAACTCATTTCAAGTAGCATGAAATATAGTTTGCTGTGATATGAGATGATATACACTAATTTATGTTCACTGACAAATTAAGGCTGCACTCAACTCATTCTTCTTAAAGATATATTAGAACATCAGCGATCACGAAATTCAAATAAGTACAAGTAAGGCTGCTTCA